CTATTGCTCTGATAGTGGCTTCTTTTAAAAATCCACGCCTATTGCTCTGATATTCGTTAAAAATCCCAAAAATGTTGACCCTTCGTTTGGGGAGGTACCAGATGGAATGGAGCGATGGGTCCCATTTTCGAACTTGATTTAGAGATTTATGTAAAAATACGACAATTTACAGGGTTATTGAAATTGAACAAGGTGTATATAACATTTGTCACTCCGTATTCTATTTAAGTGTGAATGAAATATTACGATGTGCGAATTTTGTAACAAATCGGACATCCGATACGATTTTGTTGGATTAAAATTTTACCATTAGTGGTCGATGAAGCGACGGATATCGTCTTCTTAATATGACGATGTGCAGAGTTTGGGTAAAATTTGACATTTCATCCTCTTCATTTTGGATTACAAAAATGAAAATGTTGAAAGCGTTACCTGAAGGAGCGGACCGATTGCTCCCATCTTCGAATTTTATCTAGTATTGGTAAAAATATTACTATGTATTACGTTTGGGGCGAATTTGACTTTCTATTTGCTTAATATTGTATTAAAAATTATTGACATTTGTGACCCTTTGTGGGAGTGTACCTTGGACCTGAGCTTGGTAAAAATCGGATAGTCCGTTCAAATGATATTATAAAATACATTTACACCATTTTGTGTGGTTGGTACCTGAAGCAGTGGACCGATATTAGCCAACATCAAATTAGATTTAAGATTGGAAGAAATTGTACTATGTCCAAAGTTTTAATTAAATCGGTTACTCCCTACGAGAGTTATTGTGCGCCCAATCCAGAGAGACGGGCGGACTTTTGTTAATTGACTCCAAATTATTTGAAATGGATTTGGTCCAAAGAAAAATGGGATCTAAAACCAATAATTCGATCAGGCACATTTTTCCAATAGCAATTTGTATGTACCCCTCGCTAGCCATAAGTCTACATATTGATATTAACATTGACCCACTTTGTACATTTTCTGGGATTTTATGATAAGTCAAAATTTCTGATAAAAGTGGGTGACAGATCCCTCCAAGAACCTAGAATGCCGAATTACAGCTAAATGAGTTAGAAAATGCGGCTAAGACCCTCAAAATACCAAAAATGAGGCGGAACTTTTAAATCGGTGCTATGCCACTACATTGGCTTACATCGAAAATGTTTTGTAAATAAAATATTACTCAACCTCCAAGAACGGGCGGCTATGTAAAATACTGGTTTTATATCAAACATTGAAAAAAATACTGCTCACCCTTCAATAACCTAAGGATATTTTGAAGGATTTAAGTACTGAATTAAGTATAGAACGATGTTTTTTAAATTTCATGAAAATCGGTTCAGATTTAGATACAGCTCTCATTTAAGGTAAATGGTGCACTAAAGTCCCCAAATATCTTTCGATTGGCACGAAATTTGGCACAGCGTACTGAACTGATGTGTGGTAAGTTTCGTGAAAATCGGTTCAGATTTGGATAAAGCTCCCATATATACTTTCGCCCGATTTAATGTAAATGGTGCACTCAAGACCCTACATATCTTTCGATTTGCACGAAATTTGGCACAGCGTTCTGAATTGGGTCAGGAGTCATGTCTGCCAAGTTTCGTGGAAATCGGTTCAGATTTGGATATAGCTCACATACATATTCTCGTTCGATTTTTTGTAAAAGTTGTACCAATGCCTCTACATTTCTTTCGAATTGCACGAAATTTGTATAGCGTACTGAATTAAGTCTAGAATCATGTGTGTTAAATTTCGTGAAAATTGTTTAAGATTTAGATATAGTTCCCAAATATATATTTTCTTGCGATTTAAGGTAAATGGTGTGCCAAAGTCCCTATATATCATTCGATTTGCACGAAATTTTACATAGCGTACTGACTTAAGCCTAGAATGATGTGTGTTAATTTTCCTGAAAATGCAGATTTAGATATATCTGCCACATATATATTTTCGTCCGATTTTAGGTAAATGGTGCACAAAACTAGATTGATTGCGCTTTTTTTTGTAATGCATACATAGCTTCCATATATATATATATATATATCGAACGGGTGTCTGATTGATATTATCGAATAGTGTGTATCAAATGTGCTATAAATCGATTTACCCAAATTTGTCCCATTGAAAATTAGCATAGTTTGCAAATGCAGACATAGCTTCCATATATATTTCGAACGGGTGTCAGATTGATATTATCGAATAGTATGTATCAAGTGTGCTATAAATCGATGTAGCCAAATTTTTGCCATTGAAATTTAGCATAGTTTGCAGAAAAGCATGTATATGGATTGATGTTAGTCGGTTCATTTATTGATAAAGATCAAATCAAACTAATTGTTTTTAATGGATTTAAAAAAAAAAATGAGAATTCCCATATATAGAATATACCCAAAGTGGTGAAGGGTATCATATAGTCGGCCCAGCCCGACTTTGCTACTTTCCTTACCGGTTTTTCATTATGACTTGTCATTTGGGGTGACTGGGACGTCATCTGTTGATGATTTTATTTTTCTTCACTGATTTTAGGGTTTCTTCAATGTTCAATAACTTTTGAAATACTTGGAATATCTAAATAATTGGTACCATATGAAAGGTAAGAGTTCTATCTACTTCAATATCTGCTCATAAATTTATAATTGTTAAATGTTATACGCGAACATTTTGATTAAAAAAAAATATACTTTTATAAATATCAACTTTAAATAAGTTTTTGTCCAATGACACCTTATTTGTGTTAATAGAGCAATTTGTAAAAAATTGAAGTCAGTAGAAAACAATTTGAACCCATTTTCTGAATTAATAAGATAGACCATTGTGTCAGCTTAATTACATTATTTCACTGACCTTTTACTCACCTTTAATCCGACAAATAAACCACACAAAATCTCATTTCAAATGTTTGAATGTTTTGATTTAGATTTTTATTGAAATTAATATTTAATTGTTTGTTTTTTTGCATTTAAATATTTTTTAAAATATATTTAATTACATGATAAGATTAAATTATTAATATACGTTTATATTACTGCTTATATATTTTTCTTTTGTTTGGAAATGAATTTACATTTTGAAATATACAGTAGTTATAGTGTGTGTGTATATGTATGTGATATTTAAATATTTACTTAACTCTTGTAATATATTTGGACAAACATATTTAAATTTGCATTACTAGTATTTTAAATAGACAGTTTGTTTTTTTTATTTTTCAACACTGTTTGGAGTGTGTGTTTAGGTGACAATAATAAATAATTGCAATTATTAATAATAATTTGTTTTAATTTTCATTTTACAATATTATAGTATAATTATTTATTTTTTTGTTTTGTTTTAAATCTTATAATGCTTAACTAACATCACGAGCTTTTATTTCAGTTTACAAAACAAAAATGATATAAATTTTTTGAAATATAATAATAATGAATTCAAATTTGTGAAACATAATGAGTTGAAAAAATATGTACCCTACACCCTACAATCCCATTCAAAACAGATGACACTCCAAAGATCTGCCTATCAGAATAGTTAACTATCAGCTGAGTCTATAGACACAGCTGAGTCTATAGATACAGCCATCAGCTGAGTCTATAGACACAGCCATCAGCTGAGTCTATAGACACAGCCATCAGCTGAGTCTATAGACACAGCCATCAGCTGAGTCTATAGACACAGCCATCAGCTGAGTCTATAGACACAGCCATCAGCTGAGTCTATAGACACAGCCATCAGCTGAGTATATAGACACAGCCATCAGCTGAGTCTATAGACACATCCATCAGCTGGTGATTAGAAACAGCCATCAGCTGGTCAATAGACACAGCCATCAGCTGAGTCTATAGACTCAGTCATCAGCTGAGCGATAGACACAACCATCACCTGATCGATAGACATAGCCATCAGCTGGTCTATAGACATACAGCCATCATCTGGTCTATAGACATACAGCCATCAGCTGGTCTATAGACATACAGCCAGTCGATAGACATACAGCCATCAGCTGGTCTATAGACATACAGCCATCAGCTGGTCTATAGACATACAGCCATCAGCTGGTCTATAGACATACAGCCATCAGCTGGTCTATAGACATACAGCCATCAGCTGGTCTATAGACATACAGCCATCAGCTGGTCTATAGACATACAGCCATCAGCTGGTCTATAGACATACAGCCATCAGCTGGTCTATAGACACAGCCATCAGCTGGTCTATAGACACAGTCATCAGCTGGTCTATAGACACAGTCATCAGCTGGTCTTTAGACACAGCTGGTCTATAGACACACAGCGATAGACACAGCTATCAGCTGAGCGATAGACACAGCTATCCGCTGAGCGATAGGCACAGCTATCCGCTGAGCGATAGACACAGCTATCAGCTGAGCGATAGACACAGTCATCAGCTGAGCGATAGAAACGGCTATCAGCTGAGCGATAGAAACAGCTATCAGCTGAGCGATAGACACAGTCATCAGCTGAGCGATAGAAACATCTATCAGCTGAGCGATAGAAACAGTTATCAGCTGAGCGATAGCCACAGTCATCAGCTGAGCGATAGACACAGCCATCAGCTGGTCAATAGACACAGCTATCAGCTGAGCGATAGACACAGTCATCAGCTGAGCGATAGACACAGCCATCAGCTTAGCGATAGACACAACCATCAGCTGAGCAATAGACACAGCCATCAGCTGATTGATAGACACAGCCATCAGTTGATTGACAGACACAGCCATCAGCTGATTGACAGACACAGCCATCAGGTTATCGATAGACACCGCCATCAGCTGACTGACAGGCACAGCTGATTTTTCGAAGGAGTCATATTCAGTAATATTTTGGTGTAGGGTTTTGCTTTTGAAACTTCAAAAAAACTTTCTAAAATCTAAATTTCAAATCTTCAAAATGAAAAAAATAAATTTCCTAATTTTAAAATATAAATTTCGAAAAAATATAGAAAAACTAAAAAATAATTTACTTCTTATAATCCACAACGCCAGCTGACTATGGATGTGATGAACCCATACGCGGTCCATATAATGAGTACGGTGAAAAATATTGAGCCAATGCTGGATGTTGTTGCATTTGTAAACTGGCCAGGGAACCGGGTGGAGCGGCAGCTGCTGCTGCAGCCAATGATGGTGGTAACATGGACGGTTTACCATATGGATGATAGCGGGCTGCTGATAGGGGGCTGAGTGGCGGAGTAGGATAAGTCCTTTGAAATAGCGGATGATTTGGTGGTATACCACCTTGGGCGGCAGCAGTCAAAACAGATTCGGGTAGGGATGCGGTGTGGGTACGTAAATGTTGAAACAGCTCATCGGAGGTGGCAAAACGTTTACCACAATACGGTGTATCACCACCGATCCAAGAGCAGACATAAGGCATTTGCGATGCAGCTGCCAAGGCGGCTAGTTGGGCGTGATAGGATGATGCTGCAGCCGCCGCAGCTGATGAACCCGATTTTGCTTCCCGTTCACATTGAGGGCAACCGGCCGGACATGGTTGTCCTGCTGCCTTATTGAGGAAGTGAGGACTCGAGGGGCATCCTGTGCAATATGGATCTCTACAGATATTCGGTTGCATTTCTAAACCTTTCAGTCGGGCATAGTTGAGATAGGGATTCAGGGAGGCTGCCTTAAACATTGGATGGTGGGGCGACATTAAAGCACTGGCTGTCATTAAATCCATGGGATAGGGCATACTTGAGGGATAGCCGGGATAGTAGGCACTGGCTGCCGAACCGGCAGATGCTGAGCTACCACTTGCAGCAGCTGCTGCCTGTAAAGCTTTCATATAGCTGGCCTCTTTGGAGGCTTGGGCCAAGGCAGCTGCCTCATTGGAAGCTTGCAGCCGGGCTGATGATGCTGCCGCCGAACTTTGCTGGGATGGACTAGATGTCGTTGTTGTTGTCGTACTGTGAGAAGTCTCTAGAGGACCGCCATTAAGATTTAGCTCTTTGGTTTTATGCTGCTGTTGCTGATGATGATGGGCTGGACTACTTAAAGCACGCTGTTGCTGTTGTTGTAGATCATGTTGTAAACTATTTACTGAAGAGGGCGTACGTCTTAATGACCCTCCCCCGCCACCTCCGCCACCATTAATTGCCGGCGATTCACCTCGTTGTGAGGAGGCGCTCTGATTGGAATCACAACGACCATTACTGTTACCATTGTTACTAATTTTCGGTGTCTTTACGCGTTGCTGCATTTGGGCATGTGCCTGTGTTAGATTCGTTGCCTGTTCCGTAGCATCCACATCGATGCGCACATCTCGTATGTGATTATTGTTGGTTTCATAGGGTTTGAAACTACATTTCACAGACTGGGGTTGATGCGGCGGTGGTGGTGGGTGTTGTTGCTGTTGATGTGGCTTATGTTGTGTCGCAGGCTGGTGCTGTAGTTGTTGCTCTGCCGAACCGGTCGAGACGGACGAATGACTACTTAGTGGCGATGATTTATCACGATTATCCAACGATGATGAGGACGATGATTTATGAGCTTTGGTTGCTTTTTCAATATTTGCTGCCAGCAATTTGGGATTTGTGGTATCGGCACCAATTGCGCTGCATGTCTGGGCGAGCAGGGCCAGCGGACTGCTTTTTGTGTCGATCTGGAAGAGAGAGAGAAACGAAAAATAGATTTTAAAATATTTTTTAATTTTTTTTTTCGAAAATTATATCAATTCTAAAACTTTCATAAAGTCTCCAATTTTTTTTAAAATTTTCCTCAAATAAAAAAATAGTGAAACAACCTCAACATTAGCCCCACAGAACCACGGAAATATTTTGTTAAGAGCCTCATAAATTTCTTGTTTATAAAGATAACACCACAAAGAAATTTAATAACACTTAACCTGGTAGAGTTATAAATTATTTTATTAAACAGGTTCTACCCCACCCTCCACTATAAATACGGCCATAAAATATCACAGAAATTCAATCATAAATTTTATAATCTTAAAATATGATCGGTTGGTAAATAAAAACTTCAATAATTATTAGAAATCGCACCATAAATTAAAGTGTTGTTTCAGGTAGAAATTAATTTCAGATCATGAAGTCATTTCGTCAGGTTGTGAAAGTACCTCCGATAATCGAGAGACCAAATAGAATTCGTACTAGAAAGAACTTAATTTGTGATAAATAATGTGTTGAAAATCAGCTGCCAGACAACCATCAGCTGTTCCATATATAGACACAGTCATCAGCTGAGCGATAGACGCAGCCATCAGCTGAGAGATAGGCACAGTCATCAGCTGAGTGATAGGTACAGCCATCAGCTGAGCGATAGACACACCCATCAGCTGAGAGATAGACACATCAACCGAGTAATAAACGCAGACATCCGAGGACAGATACATACATCAGCTGAGCGATAGACACAGTCATCAGCTGATCGATAAACGCAGCCATTAGCTGAGAGATAGGCACAGCCATCAGCGGAGCGGGAAAAACAGTCCTCAACTGAGGATAGACACATCAACCGAGTAATAAACACAGACATCTGAGGACAGATACAGACATCAGCTGTTCTATAAACGCAGACATCAGCTGAGCGATAGACACAGTCATCAGCTGATCGATAAACCCAGCCATCAGCTGAGCGATAGACGCAGCCAACAACCGATGGCTAAAGGGAAAGACACAATCATCACCTGAGTGATAGACACAGCTATCAGCTGAGGATGGACACAGTCATCAGCTGAGCGAAAAACACAGCTATCAACTGAGTAACAAATTAAAACGCAGACATCTGAGGACAGATACAGCCATCAGCTGTTCTATAAACGCAGCCATCAGCTGAGCTATAGACACAGCCATCAGCTGATTGATTGACACAGTCATTAGTTGAGGATAGACACAGTCATCAACTGAGCTATAAAAGCAGCCATCAGCTGATCGATAAACGCTGCAATAAGCTGAGCGACAGACACTGTCATCAGCTAGGCGACAGATACAGATAGATCAGCTAAGCGATAGGCATAGTGATCAACTGGTCTATAGACATAGCCATAAGGTGCACTATGCTACCAGCTGTTCTAGAGACACGCCCTCAGTCATTGTTTAAAAAATCAACGCCTAGAAAACGCCAAAAAATCCAGGTCTTGTGTTAGGCCTTAAAAAATATTTTTTAAAAAATCCACGGCTTATGGTAGACCTTAAAAATATTATTTAAACCAGTAAATTCGGACTGGGCCGACTATATGATACCCTTCACCACTAACAGACGTCGCCTTTTCTAAGGCGATTATTTGGTGTACAGTCAACATGAATAGGTCGAAATTATATATGGAAGCTAATCTGAACCAATTTCAGAGAAACTTGCTAGATATAAATTTTTATTAATTTCTGTACGTGTATAGGTCTGTATGGGCCTTTAGTGAACCATTTACTTAAAATCGGACGAAAATATATATAGAAGGTATATGTACATCTGAACCAATTTCAAGGTTAGAGTAACAGTACATTGTACAAAATTGTGTGCCGATCGGCCTTGGGTCTTTAGTGCACAATTTAAATTAAATCAGTCGAAAAATGTATATTGAAACTATATCTAAATCTGAACCGATTTTCACGAAACTTAGCACGCATCATTCTGGACCTAATTCAGTACCCTATGCCAAATTTCGTGCAAGTCGAAAGATATATAGGGACTTTGGTGCACCATTTACCTTAATTCGGGCGAAACTATATATTGGAGCTATATCTAAATCTGAAACGATTTTCTCGAAACTTGGCACACATCATTCTGGACCTAATTCAGTACTCTATATCAAATTTCGTGCAAATCGAAGGATATATAGGGACTATGGAACACAATTTACCTTAAATCGAACGAATATATATATGGGAGCTATATCTAAATCTGAACCTGTGCCAAATTTCATCCAAATCGGATCATAAATGCGACCTGTACTTTGTTAACAAAAATACATGGACGGGCGGACGGACGTACAGACGGACGGACGTACAGACGGACATGCGTAAATCGACTCAGAAAGTGATTCTATACATATTCTCAAAAGGAACCATGGGTCTATCTCGATTATTTTTGCCTGTTACATACATATGCACAAAGACATAATACCCTGTACCACAGTGTCGTGAAGGGTATAAAAAAATAATACACGCCTTGTGTGGTCTTTGAAAATGTATTTTTTAAAAATCCGCGTTTATAGATATCTCCACACATCTATAGAGATTTTCTAAAGCTCTTCTATAGAGCTTCGAATAATACATCCTAATCATCCCGCACTTATATTATAGACCCATAAATAAATGACTGATATCTGTAATAACCCCGCATGCCTTTGTCGGTAAAAATTCTACCAACATTAACAGAAAACCCCCAACAACAACAACTTAACCGAATAAAAATACCATTCTAGGAGTTTGAAAAGCCCATTAAACCCATTGAACAATTTATGATGCCATACTTATGCGTAATATATTGACTTCAATATAACGTATACCACAACATGATAAGCCATATAAATTTCATATTTTCTTTTTTGTTGTTGTTGTTTTTGTTCCTTATTTATTTAACTATCACAAGCATTTAATTTATAGCCGGGCTATTGAGTGGACCATAAACGCGTCAATGCATCAATAAATTATTATTATTGTTTGCTATATAGGTTTGGCCTATCATAAATATTTGCGAAGTGGCATAATCTTCAATCAGTAATTTAGTTATACTCGTATACCAAAATGGAGACAACAATTTTCGAGAACCGAACAAAAAATAAATAGCAGAACCGATAAGTGGCAGCCATAAAAAATAGGGGAGTTAAAATGTTTAGTCATTTTCGGTGGAAATGTATTTTTATATGCCATAAAAACAAATTTCTTTGGAACAGAAAAGACCTAACCCAATATTTAGATTATGGTGACAGTGC